AACAATCTCTGTAATCAATATTAAATTAGTTTTTGTAGTTTCTAGAAACATCAAAGAATCAGAAAAGTTCAAAATGTCAGCAAAAAGATCATATTCTATGAGTACAAAATTCAGCATAGGTAACTCATTAGTTACAAAGGACGCCCGGAATGTCTCACAGGGACAAGCAAACAACCGTCAACCCCAACATAATCACAAGCTGTAACACTGAACTTACCTATTCTGTAAGTCCACCTTTCCTGTTTGGTTTGCTTCTGTTTTGTTTCTTTTCCTTTTCTCTTTAAGGGGACCTTTTACTTTGTAGCCTAGGCTGACCTCTGACCTGTGGAAGTCACCTGCCTCTGCCTCCTGAGTGCTGGACATCACCCCCAGCCAGGAGGCTTGCTTTCGAACTGATCTAAGTAAAGACCCTTCCATATGATCAGCCATGAACACGGAAGCCAGAGTGCTGCCAGCCAGAAGTGTTGTGAGATTGCCGCCCGAGCAAACGCCACCTCCTTTGTGCCAGGGCTTGTTCTGAATACCAGGAGCAGAATGCTACAGGAGGCTGACCAGGGCCACTCTCCCCCAGAGGTTATGCTCCCCTGAAAGGAAGACAAAGCTTCAGAAGAAAGGGACTGGTCACGCAAAGCCTAAAGAAATGAAGCAATGGAACAAGCAAAAGGGTGGTAACCAGAAGAACACTGTAAGATGGAGATCAGTACATGCCACAGCCCAGGGCAACCAAGACTTACAGATTCAGATACAAGAAGCCCCTATGGTTGAAACACAGCAAATGAGGGAAGGTAGGGAAGGAAGAAATGAAAGAAGACCAAGACCAGACCAAGAGTCTAGACATCTGGGGCATCATACACATCATCCTTTGCTCTTGGAAGGAAAGAAAGACAGCAGGACCTTAGAAATGACAATATATGATCAGAGTTCCCTACGGAAAGGTTGTTCTGACAACAGGAGTGATGAAATGATTTCACTGAATCATTGAGGTCATTAACCCAGACAGAAGTAATTTCTTTGCACTAAGTGGTGACACGGCAGGGATTAGGAACTGGTTACATCTAGTCTCAATTTCAAAGTCAGAGTGACAGGATTCAGTAACAGATTAGATGATATACAATACAAGAAGAAAAAGACTTAGTAAGATCTCATTGCAGGAGCACACGTGCTCTTCTGTTTCTGGTGACGAGGAAAGGTAAAAGTGAAGGTTTGGTGGCGAAGGTAGAAACAGGAACTTGGACATCTGACATCTGAGATGCCACTGAAGAAGCTGAGATGTCAAGTGAGAAGCTGAAGATGTGATTCTGGGACACAGGAGGAGGACACAGGAGGAGGATACAGATGGAGGACACAGGAGGAGGACACAGGAGGACACAGGAGGAGGACACAGGAGGAGGACACAGG